CTATGTTTTGTGTACCCTCAAGCTTTCTGCAACAAAAATGGGGCTCTCTATTATATTACAAACTTTTGCATTGTCTCCGAAAGGAGAAAACGCTAGCCAGCTACCTTTCTTCTTCTTCTTCTTTGAATCAACAATTCAAGAATCACCTGCAATATTCCACTTTTCTACTAACTCTTTCAAAATTTCTTAGACAATTAAAATTAAGGTTAAAATGTACTGTGATAGTTGTGAAGAAGAGTCAGAAATGCTGCCACCAAAAATGAAAGGTCCAATTAGTCCAAACCCCACTTTTTCATAACATCATTAAGATCTCCATACTTATTTCCCATTACTTTTATCTTGTTAACAGGTATAAAAACTGTTAAGTAATTCGGGAAAAAAAACCGGGTGACGGTGACCGGGAACGTGGATCCGAACAGGGTGTTGGAGAGGGTGAAGAGCACGGGGAAGAGGGCAGAGTTCTGGCCGTATATACCACAACATGTGACATTATATCCGTATGCAACGCGGGTGTATGACAAAAGGGCACCGGCGTGATATGTTCGGAACATGGCGCAAGCTTACCCGACACCTTCTTCCAACGCCCCTGAAGAGAAATTCTCCACATTCTTTAGCGATGATCACGTTCATGCGTGTTCCATCATGCGGGGTGAAATAATGAAAGTTAGATTAAAATTGTGGATTTTTGACGACCCTGTGCTGTTTGTATTTTGTAACAGTTCCGATTCATTGGGAAATATATTAAAACTAACAATCCCAGAGTTACATAATGATTGCTTCATCTTAACCGTACTTGGTAGAAACTTGGCTAGCAAAGAATATATATTAAATAATGATATACACTCATTTTAATATAGTAAAGACATTGTGCTTTTAACGACATTATAAGGTTTGTGTGAATTTTTTAATTTAATAATTGATTTTTATCTATAAAAATAGAAAAGGCCAAAACTACATTAGGTTCAATTTGATTCAACCATGGAAAAATTAGTTAATAGGCAAGCAAAGGGAGGATAAATTATTTTATGGACCATTTTACCATGTCATCAATGGTCCTAATCAATTAAAAAGATATACATCAAATTTTTTATGTTATTTACATACATGGATTTTATTTCATTATTAATGCATATCAAAATCAAACCTAAATCTAAGCATTGCTTCTGGCTCTTTATTAATATATATATATATATATATATATATATATATATATATATATATATATATATATATATATAAAAGTTTTATCTCTCTTGATCTAATTTTTTCTTCTTTCAAAGTTTATCTATCTTTGTTCATTCAAGTTCTTTTTCATGGCTTTCTAAATCGAAGCACTTAAAGTTTTTTGCAAAGTTTTCTTCTTTATATTTATAAAGAAACTAATTTGGAAAATAAAATTCATGTGTGTTAATGACATGGAAACAAAGATTAATATGTATATTTTCAATTGGTTGAAACCATTGATGAAATGTTCATGAAATGAGCAGCCTGAGTGCTAGGCTTGGCTTTTGACTTTGTAAAATTATTATTTCAAATTGGAGTAGGTGTCTCTATAAATAAATAAAAAATTAATTGGTAGTTTTTAAGGCAAAACTCACTATATATTGCTGTGAAAAAAAAAACAATTCACGTGATAATGTTGTCCAATAAATAATTGTTCAAATGGTGTGAAATATACAGTTCATGGATTGGTCACCATGCAAGCCAAACGAGATCATAGGTCGCCATACACTCGGTGCGACCTTGTAGGTCGCCATGCAAGCGGCTCGAACTCCTCCGTGATTCTGCTGAAATCACAACAAAGGTGGCTCTGCCTCCCTCACCCCTGTCTCCGACAAAAGTGTTCTATACGAGCTGTGGCGAGAGGATGAAGCTTTTCTACGAGCTGTGGTGAGAGGATGAAGCTTTGCATGCGCCATGCACGTCGGAAGAGGTCGCCTGCATGCAGTGGGGAGCAGGCGAGCATGCAGCGGGGAGCAGGGCGCAGGACAAGGTCGCCCAGCGTGCATGGCGACCTACGGCCAACACTGTGCAATTCGCCCTATTTGAGCAATTAATCTTGGGAGTACGTTATATCGTTAAATAAAAAATTCGAGAACATTATCTCGAAAGTTTTGCCGGTTTTGGAATAATCCAATTTTGGTATTTAAATTTTTTAGTAGAATTGGGTACTTAACTTTTTTGGTGCAATTGGGTATATAATATTTTTTAATTACACATATTCACTTTTAATTGGTTAACACTTATAATTGGAAGGGTGATTTTTTTTTTAAATAAACGTGAAGGACAAGATGCGGAGAAACCATAGTGGAGAAGAAGCTGTGGAAAAGGGAGTCGTAGATGCGGCGGAGTTTGAAAAGAAAGTTAATCGCGGAGAAGAAGAGGAACATAAGGGCGAAGTGCATCCTGATGTTTTAAAACAGAAAGTGTTTGTACACTTTGCAAATCATTTCAACTGCAAGTCAAGAAGGTGGGATGCAGATTTTGATCTCAACTTCAACAAACTATCTGCTGATGAAGCGTCATTGTCAGAAAAAACTTTTACGATGGAATAAGTGAAAGTTTCCAAGTGGAATTGTGACGACTCAAAAGCACCAGGCCCTGACGGTTTTAACTCTGCTTTTTTCAAAAAATGCTGGGATATAAAATGGATAGCTTGGATGATGGGGTGCGTATCTTCAGCAAGAATCTCTGTTATGTTAAATAGGTCTTCAACGAGGGAATTCGTCATGAAGAGAGGGTTGAGGCAGGGAGACCCACTCTCCCCGTTCATGTTTATCCTAGTGACGGAAGCTCTTCATGCACTAATTGTCAAAGTAGTAGGATAAGGGAAGTTTGAAGGCATTCAGATTACTCCTGGTTTATCTATTTCTCATCTATAGTTCCCGGACAACACGATTCATTTTCTTAGACCGGAAGCACAAGGTATTACAAATGTTAAGGGATTACTTCGTAGTTTCGAGGTGTGCTCTGGGTTGAGTATAAAATTCAAGAAATCCGGTATGATTGGAGTAAATTTGGAAGATTCACTGCTTAATCAGCTAGCTCAGATTTGTGGTTGCCAAAAAACACATTACCCATTAAATATTTGGGGTTTCCTTTGGGAGATGATCCTAGAAAAGTGGGCACTTGGGAACCGGCGATTGAAAATTTTAATAAGAGGTTGTAAGAGCAGAACGTTATCATTTGCAGGCAGAGTCAACTCTGTTCTTTCTGCATTGTCATTGTATTTTATGTCTATTTTTAAGGTGCCGAAATCAGTCATCCTCAAGGTCGACAAAATTCGAAGGAATTTTATCTGGGGTCATAGAATGGCTCAAAAAAGTTGGCAAGAGTTAACCGAGGCCGTATATGCAGACCCAAGAAGCTTAGAGGAGTGGGAGTGGCGAATGTCTTTGTTAAGACCCAAGCATTGCTCGCCAAATGGGGTTGGAGATACGCCTTGGAAAAGGAAGCTCTTTGGAGGAAAATTATAAGTGCGAAAGTTGGATACTACATTACATTTAAATATCAAAAGTTACAAAGAAAAGGTTACGATTTTTTTATTAATTTAAGTTATAATTCATTTATTGAAGTGTATTCAAATATTTTATTGTTGTATGGATCAAATTGAATATGAACTCCAACTCGGGAAAATGATTTATCGTTAACAATTTGAAATGATTTTAGATTAAGATTATCAATACTCTTCCTGGTTTTCTCATAAGAACGATGTATGGAAATTACATAAATCTGTTTATGTTCTTAACCTTGAGGTCGTGTGATCGAGTACCACGGAGGGCATTTCATAATTCGGAGGTCTTCTACGGAAGCTGCTCTCAACCTGGTGTTGGGGGCAGCCTACTATCTTACCTCCCCCTTATCCCATTACATATGGGAACAAGGGACAGCCATTTTTTTTGTTTATGTTCTTAAATAAGCAGTCAAAGCCTCAAAGGAGACTAATAAGTTTTTATTTGGATAGAAAGGGTTGTCTTGTTGATTTTTGATAGCGAGAGTGTGGAATATGCTTTTCGTCTTTGGTCGAATGGTGTGGATTTATCATATATCTTAGATATTATTGCATCAACTATGGTAACGCGCGCTCTTTTTCCTTCATTAGGTTTAGGGAAGATTTTAATGATGTTCTGGTCATAGTTTTCGCTTTTCATAAGAATGAATAAAGTATAACTTTCCCTTTAAAAAAGAATTTAATAAAATGTGACCAATTTTAGTGTTTATTGCAAATTTGGGTCCAGATTGCAAACTTAAGTTTTTTTTTTAAATACAACAAACTTAGGTATATTTGTTTTACATGTTGTAAATGAGACAAGACAAGTTGTAAGTTACTAAGTTTGATTTGATAAGGCTTGGTCAATATTTGAATCAAGTTCTTAACGTGTCGAAGTGAAAAACTTAAAATCTGATTTGAAAAGTTCGCAAGCAACTTGAAAAAAATATATTAAAATTTTAAGTTATTAAATTAAAGTATTAATAATATTAACATTAATATGTTTTTTAAATACAATATAAGTTTTTCATGTACTTGAGATTCAAGCTTGAGTTTAAAACGAGCTCAAATTCAAACTTCAATCAAGCTAAGTTTGATAAAATTTCAAGTTAAAGTTTTTTAGGTTCAAGTCGAGCTTTAATTTTCATATTTCAAGTTTAAATCAAGCTTAAAAATATTAAGCTCATAAGTTTTCAAGTCGAGTCGAGCTCAACTTTAAACTTTTTTAATCGAGTTGAGCAACAATACTTAAAATCTATTTGGCTCATTTGCAGCCTAGTTATAGATGCACCCATGCATACGATAGGTTTCGATTAGTTAGGGAATGAATATCCTTTCCGAAGTTCTCAGAGGTTGTAATGTATACCAACCATCAAATTATGTTGCAGAAAACTTGCACTAAAGAACTTAAAATCGGAAGTATTTTATCCTGAAGTTTCATTCTATAAAAAAACAGCAATTATCAATTCACATAACAAAAATGAAAAAAAAACTAAACTAAACAACCGGAAGTACTTTAGTATATCCCCCTATGGGGTAAGAATTAATGAGAAAAAACTGGGAAAAAAAATTAACATGCGAATGATTCCTGGGGAAGAAAAAGGGCTGCCTATGGAATCTTCAGCGCCTGCTTCAGTTGTGCAAGGGCTGCAGGATGCATCCTCCCAATGGCATAATAAAATGACCTCTTGTGTACTTCAGCACAGATTCCAAGATTGTATCTCACAGCGTTTTCCACTGACATCTGGTTAATAGGGTCTGCGGCTTTGATCTGAATCATGCCACAATCAAACCATCATACAACGATAAACATAAGATAATTGTTTGTTTCACATATTGCTTGACAAATGATTTAACCAAAGAATGTCGACCTGTCTTCTTCTTAGCTCCTTACTGGAAAGGGAACCCTCGCCGTGGGACCTGCTGGAGCTCATGCCATCACCACTGCAGTTTTATTAGCAAACATTAGTATAGAATATATAGTTCATGAATCTCTGACGTAATCTCCACCGTTCCAAAATTCATAATACAATGACTCAAGAGCACATAACCTTGATTCTTCCATCGTTAAGTCATCAGTCCCTCCCAAAATCATACTACTGCAGACACTGCATGAAGAAAAGGCGATTGTTATTGAACATACTAAACATCATTCAACACTTCTCTCAAAGACGTGCTTCGAAATCAAGATGCTGCTCATACCTTAATATCCGATCAAGTTTATATAGAACTTGAGGCAGCTGTAGAGTCATAATCACGGAAAGTGCTAGGCCAAATATTTTCTTTGAGGATGAATAAACATTGTCCACCTAAATAAAAATTTAACATGCTAAAGATAAAAGAAAATTTATCTTGAAGAAGCCTACCAATAAATGTCAGGTTTTTTTTTGGCATCTCAGAGAACCAAGAGAAAATGGTACTTTGACAGTTTCAAATCGTCTCGTCCACTAGGGTATACATTTGACTAACCTGTTCAAGCCATGTGTCAGCCAGACTAAGAAGAATGTTATATTCAACAGATACACCAGCCTGCTGCAGTTGTGATGAAAGGGAAGGTTGTGATGTTAAGAGTGCAAGATAGTTGCGATTCATCACCAAAATCCTTGCTAGGATAGCAGCTGAAGATGCTTTAATAGCTGTGTCTAAAGGATTGCCATCGTCACTTACACTCAAGCAAATAACAAGAAGTTTCTGCCAACATTTATATAGGCATAGCTGGAATTAGATATCATGAAAAGGCATTCATCATGGAGAATATAACCGAGAACATAAATGATCAATCAACTCCGCTGGTAAAGAACCATGCTTACTTGTAAAGTAGTGTTGATTAATGGCAGTACTTCCGCGGGGTAACACTGCAAAAATACAATATATATATATATATATATATATATATATATATATATATATTAACAGAATGTCTCAGATTCAATGCATTTTTAACGATTCTATTTATCTATGATTATCAATAGACAGTTCTGTCATCCTCATATACCTGTATCAAAATGTCAATGACAGGAAGAGCTGAAAGTAGCGTCCTGTCATTGTCATCTCCAACAAAGAGATCAAGAAGTTCAGCCACACTGGAAGCATGCAAGTTGAAAAATTCCCTTCCACCCAAAAGAATGTAACCTTCTGTAATTTTGACAGCAACCTGCAAGCACATTCTGATCATTTTAAGACTAAATGAAAAAGGGAGAGAGGCCTTCTAAGACTGGAGAAACCTAAACCACCGAATGTAATAGGTAGACAATCAAAGACCATATTGTTTTTAAAGGAGCTATTCGAATCCTACTTTCCAGATGAAATAATTCAAGAAATCTAACCTCCAAATGGTCGAAATTACTTTCCACGATTTTCACCAGACCTGGGAATAACGCTAAGAGTTGAGACACCATTGCAGGCGCATGATAAACTGTAGTTTCCCACAACTGCAGATATGAGGTCATTCAGCACAAGATGATTACGGATAAAGGCAGCCAGATAAATATAAAAACCTTACCAGCATGCCGTCATCCAGAAGATCGAGTTTATCTGGATCATTTATATCAATCACTTTCTGAAGAATGGGGAGGAGCATGCCGTAGGAACAAGGTGAATGATATCCCAATGCATTAACAAAGTTTCGCAATGTGATAAGAAGCTGTATCTGTAAAAGGCTTTCACCAGAAGATTCCTCCCATACCTTTCCAGATAAAGAGGTTAAAGAAATTTAAATGAATATATATATATATATAAAAAAACTGATAATTAGGAAAATCATTGTTGTATTCAACTAGTAATTAGGAAAACCTCTTGTGAAGAGTTAATACTTTCTTGATAGCAAAATTTGCATCAAGTTTCACTACAATTTTCAATATTGGTAATTATCTGATATGGTAACATGGTCCCTGTCAAACCCTTGTGACATAAACAGTCAGCAACAATTGAATTTTCAAAATAGAGGGTAAAAGCAATAACAATACCATCTGGAAAAACTGCATCATGTTGTTTGCATATGGGATGACCTCATTGAAATAACCAAGAAGAAGGGAAATCAAATTAAAAACCTGGACCTGAATTAATATGGAAAAAAAGCAGAGCATATTTATTGTATGTCACGAGAAAAACACATGCAGAAATACGAAAATAAAGAAAGACTTGGGTTGAGGACAAGTTGGTAGAGTAGAAACATTTGTGCAAGTAGTCCAACAAATTTTACCTTCGAATCAAACTCTTGAACTTCATCCACCAACTTAAAACATGAAGCCCAACACACAGAAAACAGATCAGAAAAACCGCTCTCTGAAAAATTTGCATCTTCCACATGTAAACATAATGATCGGCAGGCAGCCAGCTAAAACAACAATACAAAACATATTAAGTATAAAAAGTACAATAAACTTCTAGATTATTATGGAAAAGAAAAGTAGAGGACATGGTGCGGAAGGAAAATCAAACTTGAAACTTATCAGGCATATACCCTCACAGCTAGGTCTCTGTCTTCTAACAGATGCACCAATGCACAGTATATAACTCTTTTAATATGATTCTGAATCTGTGAAAACATCAGAAAAAAAATCCATTTAGTCAATAATTTTCGAGTAACGACAGCATCAAGGCACATTAAATAACTCTTTCTGAGTCATTCTTAATCTGCAAATATCAAAAAAGAACCATTTATGACAAATTTCCTGTAGCAACCAAAGTACTTTATTTATCGACATTCTTATCAGAAATTAAAGAGGAACAAAAAATACTGCATAGTATTAAATTGACGTTATGGATTACATACACCTGGAGCATCATTCTTCCACTATGCCAAATGCAAGACAGGTTCCGGTAATTGTTACATTTCCATGTAAAAAAATAGTCCAATACACAACAGATTTGAGTCCATTTCTAGTGGAATTTATTCAACTATACCATTGATTTATGTACTTTATATTCTAGTGTTGCAGATAATGTAACCAGATCAAGTTCCAAAGGGTTTAAGTCATTTTAGATTTATGGCTTGCTAGTTTAGTTTCCTTGAATGACTGGTTTCTTCCATGAGGGAAGCAAATTCAAGTCTCAATTAGAAATCTACCAAGTATGATTTGAAAACAGGTACCAACTACTGTTAGACAGTAAAAAAATTTCAATGTTGATTGAACAAGCTTCTACTTGCAAACTATTGATCACCGTGATGTTATAATGGATACTTCAGAGCACTGTAGTAACATGCATACAAACGCACACACATACAGTTCACAAGAAAGAAGTCTCAAAGACTACAAGGGTAAAGTGTATAGAAGGGTTTCAATTTACCTCTGTACCCACCTCTGCCCCAGGAACCCATTCCAATAGTAGTGCAACTCTCCGGCGGATGATACACGTATTTGTATGACCATTAGAAAGTTCAAGGAATAAAGCACCATTAAACCTGCATTCCATGATTATTTATGGAAAATAAGGAAAGAAAGAAAGAAAGAAAGATGACTTCATCATACCACCTATTAAGATGATGCTGATTTATTTATTCATAATGAAGTTAGTGCAATACTTTAATGACTTGTCTGAACTAAGGGACATATTAAGAGGCAACTAAATAATGTTCCCAGTTTGCTTGGATTGTTATCTTGGTTTATCATGCAAAATAAGGTACAGAAAGCCTCCTCGATGCCCCATCACCAAAGGAAAAAAAATTAAAATATCACACCAAACCACCTAGGGTAGAAAGAGAACAAATGCAGAAACAATATTAAGTGAACAAACAAAAAATATAGCAAACCGGAGATTGGATATACCAATCATGGAAGCTTAGGTAATTTGAGAGCTCATAATATACATGTGCAGCAGCACCATAGGCAGCCTCTTTAAGAAGTAACCCTGGAGAAAATTCAGTCACAGAAGTAGGGCAGCCGTTCATCACCTCATGAAGAATGGACACCACAACAGGAGCTAGCAGCTAAATGCAAAAAGTTAATTCATAGAAGCATTACATGTAATTATATGAAATAGATGACAACCAAAATAAACAGAAAGGACATTATCATGATAATACCACATACTTGACTGTGGCTTTCAAACAATACAATATATAAAGACTCTGCACAAGTCCTTAGCTTCTCTGTCCCCTGAACAAGATCCTGCTCATGATAAAAAACCTCGGGGTTCTCAGACCATTCCTCCAAGTCATTTTTAGTTAGAACAAGATACCTGGCAATACATGAATTAAGACTGATTTAAAGAAATTGTTCAAAATAGGAAAAATCAAGAGATGCAGATTTCGAGGAAAGGAAGATCCTGGGTGACAGACCACAAACTGCTAAAATGAAGCAGAAATGGAAGAATACTTACCTCCTTATCAATACTGTGCAAAAAAGTACTATCTGTTCTTTGGGCAAGAAGGAGGTCAAAACACCAGCAACATGATTGTCATCAATAGCCCATCCAGTTAGACGTGGTTTATATTGTTTACATTCCAATACACTTTTTATCATTATCATACACTTAATCAGGAATTGCTCAAAGGACAGTATGTGAAGCTCAGGATCTGTAATCTTGTTTAAACAGAAATTGAGGACAGGTTGAATGACAGATTTATCGCCAAAAGAATAAGGATGCCGCTGTTGAATTGCATCTAGAATCTTCATCAATTTAGGACATGCCCTCTTTATGAAGTCCCAGAATTTAGGATGACTATTTTGAAAAGATTCATCTGTAAGATAAGGTAAACATACAGATAAATTAATCATCCAAAATCCTCTATAGCAAGTACTTTGAGATGGAGAAGACTTCTGAATAGGTCCTGTATATCACAGCTCAAGGTGCTTTAAAGCATAGTTAATGCTTATAAGAAAGAAGGAGAAGACTTCTGAATAATTTGTATGCTAATTGTAATTAATGACTAATGATTGCTCATTTTTTTATTAATGAAATTACAAATTAACTCTCTTTTATTAACATTCTTATAGACTATTTTTCCAGGAGGGAACCAGGCAAACATCTAGCACAAAGGAATCTATTTTTTTAAAAAATGGGACCAAAAATTGGAATCAAGAGCAAGCTATCTTACAATATGGAAGTAACGATTGAGCAGCACCCAAAAGTACAGGACAAACGTCCTTAACCGGTCTTACTTCCTGCAAAAAGAAGCACTTCAATCATATATTATAATTCCAAACTGCCAAAAAAGTACAAACAAGAAAACAGAATGAAGCGGCAATTAACGTTAAATTCTTCAAAATGTTAAAAATTGAAGGAGAAAGAAGTATAAGTACCTGAACACAGTCTGCATCACTTTGAAACCCTGAAATCACTAAATGGCATATTACCTTTAGACAAAACAGCCATCTCTCACAAATTAAATAAAGATCATCATGATTCTGCTCCACAGTACTCGAATTACAGCTCTCAGTGATTGTAGAAAAACCATGTAATATTGTTCGTACATCACTCTGCCAAAGATTCCAGCAATACTCAAATAAATAGCATGATATCTGCCAAAAAAAAGTTCAGTAAGACGGGGTTTTCCAAGCTATATAACAGAACTGTAATTATCAAAATAGGAATTTATTCCTAAAACAAGTTAATTAGGTCTTTTAAAAGACGAGAGCGCCAACAGAAAAGTACTCATAAGCATGAATGCAAAAGACTAACCACTAATTACATTGAACATCACACACATGGATACACTGAGGGGTGCTGGGATGTGCGGTCACAATAAAATTCTTATATTTTAAGTTTTTTTTATTTTTTATTAATTATCTAATTTTGCACCCTAAAATTTTATAATGTCACACCTCTAAAAATTTTAATATAATTTCTTAAGTTCGCACCCCTTACATGAACACACATTTATTAGGCATTAGCACGAAAGTGAATTTCAAACCAGAGTTGTCCATGCTAAAGAAACATGTCACGGTAGCGTCCACTTCAATTTAGATAAGAGGGGCTAAATAAATGGGAGGACCAACACACAAATTCCATTAAGGATGAACTAATAAAAACTTAAATAAAAAAACGTAGATGTTTCAGTAACTACATACCTCTGCAAAATTCATTTGATCTGCAGTAAGATGTTTTTTGGATAACTCCTTCAAAGTTCTAAAGAGGATCATAAATATTCTGTGGGAGGTAAGAACATCGGCTGACTGAAGCTGCGTTGCTAGAAAAGAAAACAGATCTGGCCTAAAATAAACATACCATCAAATCCGTAACTACAATCAGCCAGAAGAGGAAGTGCAAGTATTCCAGTAAGGATTAAAAAGAATCTAGCTCAATAAAACGAGGAAATTTAATTAATGTTAACAAGTTAAAGCGTCAAGATATTCACCATTCCCTCGGATAATCAAAGTGAGCAATTTTAGAGATGATCAATGCTAGCATTTCAGCTATCTGTGTCAGAAAAAATGCAAATGATCGTGGAAAGTTATTAGTGCACCTAAGCTTAAAATTCTCTAGCAATAAAAAGTACTGAGCAATACCTTATAATTGTCTTCTTTCAAGTGCGAAAACAACTTTTTCCTTAAATGCAGTTTCTCATTGTTGCTTATCCCCCTAAGCACAAAATTTCATGTCAATAAAGAACACATTGCATATTTATTTCAAGAAAAAATTTGTGGGTTTTGACTTTTGAGAGGAACTTATCGCAAAACTTTTTCATCAAGTTAGTAAAGACTTGAAAACTACTCACAGCTAGTTAACTCAGCTGGTTACTAGCCGTAACAGCTCACTAACTGAACTAATAGTACAATAACAATTATGTTAACCCTAATAATAAATGAAGAGATTATAGTTAAACAAACTTTATCAGCCTGTAGAGCGCTATTTGTTAATAAAAAAGTCAAATTCAGTCTCCGAAAAAATTGAAAATCCAATTCTTATAATTGAATTAAATGCATGAAAAATGGTCTACAACTTACGGTGAATCTCGTCTCTGCCTCCAAAATCGATCAATTCTGTTTTTCAAATATACACAGGCCATTAATCGTACCTCTACACGAGAGGCTGAACTTTTCATTGTAATCACTTCCTGAAATAGAAAAAAAAATAGAAGAAACAGCTGCAACTTTAACGCGTACATTGTACAAACAAATTGTAAAACCAAAAAAAAAATGGACAAGACGACGAAGACGAAGAAGCAAAATAAATACCATGAGACAAGAGTAAAACCCGGGCATACGCTCGATTCGAAAGAGAGCCGCCTCGGCCGGTTTCCGAACAGACTCGTCTCGGTCCATTGCCTTGGCTAGCCACGAGTATATGTAAGCCAAAGGAGAAGGCCTGAGCACACTTGCCATCTCCAACAATATCCCCCTCTTATCTTTAGCAGTTTAAGTACGAGAACAAGCAAGGTCCGAGCTAGCTAGTCGGATCAGTGAACCGCCTGGCGAGCGACGGTTCACACAATTACATAGATTCTGAGTAGTTTGACGGTGGAATAAAGGGGATTTTGACGTTGGTCTTCGTTTGGCGTTTTGGCAGTTAAACGATATTACTTCGCTCAGCCCTACTTATACTCTCAAAGCACGATTATTCTGTAGCGTGCTGCTGCTGTATTGTTCATCTATGGTTCGTCACATAACATAATATAGCTTTATCGTATTAAACTCTTACTGTATTACAATTAAAATAGATGTCTAATATTAAAATCATAGATACTGGAGGGAGATACCTTTGGCAGTTCAAATTTAAAAACTAAATTATTAATTTTAAATAAAAATTCAAGTTAATATATATCATAATATTATCTTATCATTAACAACGATATTTTCTCTCTCGCTTATCCAATCTTTACACACATGAAGCATGAATTATCTTATCATTAAGAACGATATTTTCTCTCTCGATTATCCAATCTTGACACATACACACAGGAATCATGAATTATCTTATCATTATTTCTCTCTAGCTTATCTAATCTTTACACACATGAAGCATGAAGCTTGTTTATAATGTTTATCTACTTGAATTGATATTCATTAATAATATAATAATTACTTTTCCTCTATCGTTGAAAATTTAATAATAATATCTTTTTAAAAAAGTTAATAATAATAAGAGATTTCAGAAAGATAATTCGTCAAATACTTCTTCATGTAAAGATTTACTCAGGTAGGAAACGTAATTTAAATATTAATTTAATAATTTAAAAATATTTATTTGCTATATATCCTGAAATCAAAGACCTAAAAAATTCAAAAAAAAATTTTGAAATAAAACTAAACTATTGTGATCATTACAATTTCAAACTAAGATAAACTTCTATACAAATGTTGGAATATAAATGTAAAAAATCCAGTTGATTACTAAGTGGCGTTTAAAAGTATGTTGATAGGCTAAAAGCTATATTGTAAGATATATAAATTAAAGAGGACTAAATTATAAAAAAAAAAAATTAAAATCTCAATTTAAATATTTAGAACTCATTTAGTTAAAAAGGATAAGATCTTTTACGAGGGGTTTTACCAAAAAAAAACACTATAAAGGGTTGAGATGCATTTAACGGTTAGTTCTGCGGTGCGGTGCCTAAAAAACGGTTAATATACGGCGTGACCGGTTAAATAAGTGACCGGTTAAAATTTAGACCGGTTATGTTATATTATTTATCCGGAAATATTATAAAGTACAATAACATACTAGGTAGCGCTTATATAATGTAATAGGTAGCGCTTATATTTACCTATTTTATAAGTAAACCGGTATATTTATACCGATAGTATTGCAAATTTACCTATTACATTATATTATATTGAAAGTGTCCATACTTTTTATAAAAAGGATCGATACTTCTTTTAAAGTTATGTAATTTATGTTTCAATTTTTTTTAATAGTGTTTCATGTTTTCCACCTACAATATTAATTTAATAATTTCATTTGCACAAAAAATTATTTGATTGTTTTGATATTTTATAAAATATTATTTAGAATTTTTAATTTAATAATAATATATATCGTAACGTAAAAAATAAATCATTAGAAGCCTATAATTACTAAATTAATATCTTAAAACTCACTCAAAAGATAACATTAAATTAATGTTTTCCACAGTGAAAAAAGTATGGACACTTTTATAAAAAGGATAGACACTTTACAATATAACCACTACCTATTACATTATATAAACGATACATATTACATTATATAAGCGCTACCTATTACATCATATTTTTACCTATTATATTGAAAGTGTCCATACTTTTTATAAAAATGATCGATACTTCTTTTAAAGTTATGTAATTTATGTTTCAATTTTTTTTAATAGTGTTTCATGTTTTCCACCTACAATATTAATTTAATAATTTCATTTGCACAAAAAATTATTTGATTGTTTTGATATTTTATAAAATATTATTTAGAATTTTTAATTTAATAATATATATCGTAACGTAAAAAATAAATCATTAGACGCCTATAATTACTAAATTAATATCTTAAAACTCACTCAAAAGATAACCTTAAATTAATGTTTTCCACAGTGAAAAAAGTATGGACACTTTTATAAAAATGATAAACACTTTACAATATAACCACTACATATTACATTATATAAACGATACCTATTACATTATATAAGCACTACCTATTACATCATATTTTTACCTATTATATTGAAAGTGTCCATACTTTTTATAAAAAGGATCGATACTTCTTTTAAAGTTATGTAATTTATGTTTCAATTTTTTTTAATAGTGTTTCATGTTTTCCACCTACAATATTAATTTAATAATTTCATTTGCACAAAAAATTATTTGATTATTTGATATTTTATAAAATATTATTTAGAATTTTTAATTTAATAATAATATATATCGTAACGTAAAAAATAAATCATTAGACGCCTATAATTACTAAATTAATATTTTAAAACTCACTCAAAATATAACCTTAAATTAATGTTTTCCACAGTGAAAAAAGTATGGACACTTTTATAAAAATGATAGACACTTTACAATATAACCACTACCTATTACATTATATAAACGATACTTATTACATTATATAAGCGCTACCTATTACATCATATTTTTACCTATTATATTGAAAGTGTCCATACTTTTTATAAAAAGGATCGATACTTCTTTTAAAGTTATGTAATTTATGTTTCAATTTTTTTTAATAGTGTTTCATGTTTTCCACCTACAATATTAATTTAATAATTTCATTTGCACAAAAAATTATTTGATTTTTTGATATTTTATAAAATATTATTTAGAATTTTTAATTTAACAACATTAACCAAAGATAATAATAAATATGTAATATATATGTTTATTGTTTTTAATTTAATAATAATATATACAACATCAAACACATTCCAAGCTATAAATTACAAGCTAAGGACACTTGAAGAAGCAAGAGAACAACTATCCAAGCAATCAAAAACGAGAAAATCCCAACATGATAACAACTGAACATATCATATCAATGTTCAAACTCAAGTTGTAGATTTTGATTTCCTTTTGCTTGGCATCATATGAGCTTTGGATTTTGATGAGCATCGGAAGTATTTCGGACTTATGATTTGGGTGGTACTCAGAAGCATTTCGGACTTATGATTTTAGTTGCTATTTGTTTACCACCCAGATCATACGCCCGAAACGTTTCTGACGCTTTAAAGTTGACCAAAAAATACAATGGTCGGGATTTCTCTCGCGTTTAAACGTTGGAAAAAAACAATGGAAATTAGGAATAATCAATAATAACATGCATATTGGCTTGGGCTAATATTTATAGTGGAGCCGAAATATATATTGAAATTCAAACTCAAACTCAAATTGAAATTTAAATTCAAACTCCAATTACATATGAAATGAATTTGAAATGCAGTGTTAAATTGAACATGAAAATTGCATAATTGATTCATACTGTTCAAGTAACATGCTTTATGAACCATCAAGCTAAAAGACAATATTGATTGAGTTCAAAGCTGAGTTGTGAGTTGATGGAGTTGTCACACTTGTCACATGGTTGGAATAAAGTAATTTGATTTAATAATTTTATTTGCACAAAAAATTATTTGATTGTTTTGATATTTTATAAAATATTATTTAGAATTTTTAATTTAATAATAATATATATCGTAACGTAAAAAATAAATCATTAGACGCCTATAATTACTAAATTAATATTTAAAACTCACTCAAAAGATAACCTTAAATTAATGTTTTCCACAGTGAAAAAAGTATGGACACTTTTATAAAAAGGATAGATACTTTACAATATAACCACTACCTATTACATTATATAAACGATACCTATTACATTATATAAGCGCTACCTATTACATCATATGTTTACCTATTATATTGAAAGTGTCCATACTTTTTATAAAAATGATCGATACTTTTTTTAAAAGTTATGTAATTTATGTTTCAATTTTTTTAACAGTGTTTCATGTTTTCCACCTACAATATTAATTTAATAATTTCATTTACACAAAAAATTATTTGATTGTTTTGATATTTTATAAAATAATATTTATAATTTAAATTTAACAACATTAACCAAAGATAATAATAAATATGTAATATATATGTTTATTGTTTTTAATTTAATAATAATATATACCGTAACGTAAAAAATAAATCATTAGACGCCTATAATTACTAAATTAATATCTTAAAACTCACTCAAAAGATGTATATACCTAAATATGTAGTTAACAAACATACCTAAATATGTAGTTATTGTACATACCTAAATTTAATGATAATATACTTGTAGTTATTGTACATACCTAAATATGTACTGCGAATTTAATGTTGTACCCACCCTTTAACTACCACTACCAATGCCACATCCTATTGAAAGCAGCACGACTGAAACATGTTCAAAATGAACCTTTGCTTACATCTCCATCAACTCCTGGAACACTGAACTTGCACAACAAAATTTTTGCCATGGATAATACTGATGTAGACAATGTTAAGCCAACCGAGGAATGCCATGAAGTACATAATGTTGATGAATCTGACAGATTGGTTGGTCAGCTCTTCTGTTCACGTGATCAAGCTTGGCACTTTTACAAGGGATCCGCACGGGAACATGGGTTTAGTGCACGTAAGGGAACAACACGGCTTAACGTGGAAGGGAATGTGAAGACACAAGAATTTTGTTGTTCCAAAGAAGGGTTTCGAGCATCAAAAGTCAATACTGTTGATCGTCAACGTGCTCATACGCCAGTCACAAGAACATGATGTAAGGCTAGAGTCGTAGTTACAGCAACAAATACAAACGATCAGTGGGTTATAAGTAAGTCTGATCAGAAACATAATCATGCATTGTGCACATCTGCTATGACACCATTTATACGTTCTAATAGAGCTGTAAGTAAGGCTGATATCGATGAGGCAACAACATTGAAAGAGGTCGGTGTTGGCACGTCACAAGTAATGAACTATTTAACGCAGCAGGCAGGGGGCTATCATAATGTTGGATTTACACATAAAGACCTCTACAATGCACTTCAA